GGGCGTGGCCAGCAGGACTAGGGGAGTGATCGTCTCCCTGTACTCGACACTGGTGAGGCCACACCTCGAGTGCTGTGTTCACTTTTGGGCCCCTCACTACAAGAAAGACATTGAGGTGCTGGAGCGTGCCCAGAGAAGGGCAATGAAGCTGGTGAAGGGTCTAGAGCACAAGTCTTATGAGGAGTGGCTGAGGGAACTGGGGTTGTTTGTAGCCTGGAAAAAGGAGGCTGAGGGGAGACCTTTATCGCTCCCTGCAACTACTTGAAAGCAGGTTGTAGTGTGCTGGGTGTTGGTCTCTTCTCCCAAGTGTCAAGTGATAGGATGAGAGGAAACGGCCTCATGTTGTGCCAGGGGAGGTTTAGATTGGATATTATGAAAAATTTCTTCACCAAAAGGTTTGTCAAGCGCTGGAAGAGGCTTCCCAGGGAAGCAGTTGAGTCACCACCCCTGGAGGTATTTAAAAGACGCGTAGACGTAGTACTTAGGGACGTGGTTTAGTGGTTGGACTTGGCAGTGTTAGGTTAACAGTTGGACTTGATGATCTTAAAGGTCTTTTCCAACCTAAGCAATTGTATGATTCTATTCTATATCCGATTAAAAATACTGAATCTTTAAGATCTTAACAAGTCTGATGCTAATTCATGTTTACATCTTTAGTCTTAATGTTATTGGAAACTCATGAAAGGTTTCGTAGTCTGAAGACTCTGGGAGGTATAATGTGACAACCCTCAAGACACTTTAATTCTGAAAATGGAATCACTACACTAAGATAATTGTGCTCATACTCTTCCATTATTCAAACAGGGACATTCCACGTCCTCTACTGAAGTTTGAGGTAGCAGTGCGGAGGTTTCAGAAAACAATGGTTACTTGTTTTGCCAAGTAATATTGGGAAGGCTGGAATTAGCTGATATTTCAAAATAGCTTGCTCTTCAAATACCCATTTTTTATTGTGGACACAAGACATAAGGGCATATCCACAAGAGCATCAACACTGTAAATAAATGCAGATTAAACTTCTGGTAATTGCAAGTTTTGTTTCTATATGGAAATCTTCCAGCTGGGTACTTACAGAGCTTTGAGTCAATTAGCCTTTTTCATAACAAAGGCAGTCAAGTACTGGAGCAAGTCACCAGAGAGATTGTGCAGGCTCCACCTCTGGAAATTTTCAAGACCCAAGTGGATAAGCCCCGAATACCTTCGTCAGCCTCAGAGCTCACCATGTTTTGAGGAGGAGGTTGGATTACAGACCTCCTGAGGCCCCTTCCAGCCTCCAACTTCCTGTGGTCCTATGAACTGGAGATCATACTGGGGTCAGTTTTCTGTACGTTCAGGATCTGCAGTATTCTGTGAACTAAATTCTTCTGAGGATTTTGATCTCCCAAAATCTGGAGGGCAGAGGAGGACTGGGGAGAGTTAGATTTCTCCTTTCTATCTGATGATATTTTTTGCCTGATTGAATGAGCTTCAGTTTCAGAACAAAACTCAGAGTCCATGCTGTTTGCATACTGTATACTGGGTTTAGTTTAAATGTATCTCTAGGGATGACTGCAGGCACCATAAAGAACATTCTTGCCACCCTTAAATATGAATTTCATTTGTATTTCCACTAAATCGGGTCTCAATATGAACCCCAAGATCTGAGGTAGAATCTACTGCTGTTACTGCTTATATCTACAATGTCTGTAAATGGAACTTCAGTCAAAGAACAGAGTGTCGTTGTGAAATAAGATGGTCTAGTCCTGTTTCCTTTCTTGCATTGGTACTAGCATTTGTACAGTCAGTGGAGCTGTGATTCTACTGCTTTTTGGAAGCAGCAGAGACCTAGAGTAGGCTAAACGAAATAAGTAAGTTCGTATCTTGAGGTCAAGACAAGTAAGAGATGTGATCTGAGCAACCATGTTAAATTTGCTAATAAGCCTTTCAGGAGAAGTATTAGTGCATGTTTTTAAGCCAAATCAGTACAGAGCTTTAACAGTTGAAGTAATAGTGAATTACATTGCAACTATTGAAACTTAAATTGTCTACACAGATATGCTACTGAAGTGGCTAAGGGAGCTCATGTTCCAAAGCACTATAGCTGTACAGACAACACTATCTTGAAGAGTAGTATCTTACAGTGACCTGTCATGGAAGCAGGATTTCTCCAAGGAATATGTCATGCAATTGGTGGCTTATGTCAGTACTGGGAGATGTGGTTATTTGATCTGTAATTCTTTGTGCCCTTTCTCTGTCTTGATACAGTCATAGGTTTCCGTGTGACTTAAGCAAAAGCTCATGGGGGGAGGAGGGAGTTCTTGTGCCTTTTGCATTTACCTTCTCTCACTTAACAGTTCCTTTGGCTGTAAAGCTTCCAGAACCTGAGCAGGTTTGAAAGTGTTTGTGTAGCTGTACCTTCACAGGCACAGAGTTAAATGATCACCAAGAAATCTGTGCAGTGCTTTGACTTACCACTTTTTGTTCCCTTTTTTTTTTTTCTTTTTTAATATTTTCAGATAGTTGTTAAAAAACGAGAGCCTTTGAATTTTGGGGTTCCAGAGGGAAACACAGGATTCTCTAGCAGATTAGCAGCTACACAAGATATTCCTTTTATTCACCAGTCTGTAAGTATGCTCTAAATATTGATCTTGTATTTGACAGTTAAATGACTGTCTGTAGGAGAAGGAGTAGTCTGCCTAAGGTCTGCATTGTGGGGAGCAAGAGGAATAGTTGTGGAATAATGTAAATTGTTTTAAAATTGAGTATTTGGTTCAAAGCAATGAAGTAGTTAAATTAACTAATTTATTCTACTGAGAAACTTAATAGATCAGTGATGAAAAGGTAAGAAACTTCCAAACACTTGTATACTTGCAAATCTTCTAAAGCAACAAACTATACATTTTCTTGGATTCTACGCAGTAAGTTCCTAACAAAAGAGTAGAAGTGGTTTTTTTAAAGTCTCTGGGTTACCATTGTTTCCTTTCTGTAAGGATGATATTCTAACAGTCTCCTAACTTGTGGTCTTTAGCTTTCAAAAAAAATAGTGTAGTTACCTAATAGCCTGGCAGTTTACAGGGAGATGCTCTCCCTCCTTTCCCCTTTGCCTTTTTTAACAGTGCTGCTGCTTTGATTAACATAGCCCACAAAAGGGTCTAGGCAGAAAGCAGTACAGAATGGTCATACCACTTCCTTAGCTGTCCATAATGAAAATAATTCAGGAAAGGACTTCTAGTCAGTAAAAGCAGCACTCAGGTGATATTGGAGACACAAACATGTGGATGTGCATGTTCATTTGTCCATGCAACTTCCAGAAATCTTTTACACTATCTACTCATGTCATCTGCTCAACTTACCTTCTCCTTCCTACAAATGCACTCCAGTACTTCCTTCCTTCCTTCGTTAACCTACCAAGAGAATCCAAAAAAACCTCCTACAATTAAGTGGAAAAAGTCAGTATTAGAGCAGAGGAAAACATGTAGACAGTAAGCTGAGAAGTACTGTCATATCCCAAATATTTCTGGAAGTCTGAAGCATCAAGGTTAAAAATAAGTGTTTTATCTAATTTTTCCATGTACTTAGAGCTTCTCTTCTTTTGTTTCAGCCTGAACTGGGAGACTTGGATACTTGGCAAGAAAATACTAATGCCTGGGAAGAAGAGGAAGATGCTGCCTGGCAGGCAGAAGAAGTTCTTAGGTAACTGAAAATAGTGTAAAACCATGTAAGCCTTTTACATGTAAAGGAATATAATACAGGTTTGTTTGTTGTAACACCTTTCTGATAAGTGCTAAGAATTGTTAAACAATTCTTAAGACAAATTATTTTTGTGCATCTAATCTCTTTATAACTAGCAGAATACATTTTGGATTTAATTAATTTAGTAGATGAGATGGGGGAAATCTGAGAATCACTAGAACATTGGAACAACACATTAACACCCTCCCCCCAAAAAAACCCTCAAACCCCAAACCAACAACGCTTACCCCAACTCCAACAATTTATTATGCACAAATAATATGTTTCAACTAAGTAAAATACCACTGGGTGTCCTTATAAAAAGGATCATAATCATGTGCTGTCAAGTAAAAATAGTTCAGGATAGAAGATTAAGTGATAGGTATGTTCTTGGAATCCCTGTAGGAGCTATGTTTTGCTGGCTAACTGAACTAAACTAGCTGATAAGGCTTGAATGTAAAATCAGTGTCTTGCACAAAGTTAGCGTGAATACTACAAAGAATAGCATTCCATTCGTGGTTTTTTTTTTTCTCTTAAGAACATGTGGAAGAAGTATGAAGGTTAAAGAAATGCAGATTGAGTTTAAGTTAGTCACATGGAGTGATTTGAATTGGCAGTGACTTGCGTTAACCTGTTTCATTTCAAGGTTTTATCAAACTTTAATTGCTTGCTACATCATCAGGTAACCTGCCTCAGATGGCTCTAGCTTTCTAAACTGCTCTCGTTCTGCTCACAAAATCACAAATACATAGTTTCAGTGGGACAATAGCAATAATCATAGAATGGTTTGGGTTGGA